TAGCAACAATCCCGGTCGATGTAGATCGGGGCTTGAAGCTTGCAGTTTCCTTTCTTTCCTCTTTTTTTTTTGAGAAATTGACTTTTTATTTTTTGGTTTATTTTGCAGAGCTTGCTCGTCGTTGAGGTTCCTCCCTACAGGGAGGACTGTTTGTCTTTGTTTTTTCTTGTTTTTGTTTTTGCGTTTCTGTTTTCGTGGTTTTCGTGAGAGGCTTGGGTTTTTCTGAGTGTGGGAGGCTAAGATTTTGGGTATTCAAAAGCTTGTTGAAAGGGGGGCTGTGTGTCCGAAAGAGCTTTCGGAAAGGGAAGTTCGAGAGAGCTTTTTGGGAAGGGGGTCTACGAGAGAAGAATGGGGAATGGGTTGTTGATTTTAAAGAGCTTCAATTAGGGGGATTTGGGTGGCTGTAGGTGGGCTGAGCAGGGAGCTGGTCAAGGGGCTGGTCAGAAGGCTGACAGGGGACTAATCGGGTCGTAGGGTGGCTGGTCGGGGGTGGCAGCAACGCCAGCCACCCTACTTTCTATTTTTTCTCTTTTTGTTTTTTTAATAAGTTTTTTTATATAATTAATAATTTTTTTTAAAAAAAATTATTATTATTATTATTATTAAAATTCAAATAGTAGACCCGGATAAAATCGATGTCTACAACATTCATCATCACAATGCAAAATACTTAAATATATGGTAAAGATAGTTGATCAACAATAAAAAATGCAATATACTATACAGATAGTTTTTACATTTCACAAATATCATCTTATGTCAATATATTATAAAAATAGTTAAGAAACAATCACAATATACAACCAGAAGCACAAAGCAAATTATGGAACAGTTTTCATGCACAAAATTTTTGTATCACAAAATGCACAAGATATTATCTATTTCAATAAAATAAGGCAACAATTTCAAATTATTTACAGTAATTTGAAAGTCACATACACTGACAACTTTAGATGTGATAGCTAAATTTCTAGTAGTGTTTAATAAAATCATTTTTTTAGTTCTTTTAATGATAACTAAACTATTAGATGTTAATATTTTTGCAAATTGATTTGATTTAAAATTTGAGTTTTTTATTTTAAAATTTAAATTTTTGGAATCTCAAAAAGAACATATTTTATTTTCTAGAGGGGTCATTGGTATGTTTTAGAAGAATGCTTATAGATTTTACAACATATCTAAATAAAAGATTCAAAAAATGTTTGGGGAGGGGGGGCATGGCCCTATGGCATTAATGTGGCTCCGCCACTATCGACTTCGTTGTCTTCTCTAATTTAATTTAGGATGTAAATGGTAAGATTTACAAGATGGAAGAAGTAATCTTTCTTTATTTAGTTTAAAGCTCAATTGATATTAATTTCTTTAAGAAAATTTTAATAAAATAAACATAAGTATAAACAATAAAAAATATATATTACTTGAAAATAATCAATTTCAAAATAAAAAAAATACATCAATACTATTTATGCAAATTTCTGAATGATATTAGGCTTCTGAAAATTAAGAACGAAGTCAGAAGTCAAGGTCGAAAGTAGCTTAAGTGCTATTGCTTCAATGCTCAAATCATGGTGAAGGTTAAGAGGAAGAAAGGAGTACAATCGCAAAATATAAGAAAAATAATGAGAATGAAAAGTCGGGTATTTATAGTTGTGTCTAGGTGGCAAACCACTCCCTAATGTGGCATGGATCATAGTTGAAGTGGCCTAACATTATCTAGTACTCACAGAATGGCACGTGGGATGAGTGTGGGATGAATGGATTGTCCATATCAACAATCAGATCCAAAAATTTTGAGGAAGACTTTTGCATAATAATCTACCACATCAAACTGACCAAAATACCCTTTAACAAGAACGATTAAAATATCTTAAAACCCTAAAAATAGGATAATTCTATTTACACCTTACATTTTCCTCTTTACCCAATTCTCCCTACACCCAATTTTAAATGACTTTAAATGACTTACACCCAACATTTTCAGTTGAAATCGACGTTTAAATGACTTACCTCATTGTTTGTTTGGCACTCTTCATCTCCATTGGAATTTTTTCAAATTTGACATTCCATTTTGACAATGTACAAGATAAGAATGTAATTTTAAAGATTTAAGGTTTGTGATTGAAAAAGGTAGGGAATAAAGGAAGAAAAAAAAAAAAAAGAGAAAAAGAGAAGGAGAAAATGATGAATAGAGGGCTAAAAAATAATTTAGTAAGGTATTTAAATCATTTCATTTAAGGTCAATTTTGTAATAAAAAATTGGATGTGAAAAAAAATTATTGGGGTTTATTTAGAAATACTCTTAAAAATATCTCCTTTTGATGAAAATATTATTTTGCTCTTATAAACTTAGATGTCTACATCAAATACAAAAACAAAAAAAAGGTCAACTTATATTATGAGTAGACCTAGTAATCTAAAATATGACATAATGATATAATATAAAAATGATAAAAAAAAACAAAAGTGATATGATTTAAAATTTTAGTAGAATCCATATATAGATTTAACAAAACCAAGAACATGTATTTTATGTTTTTTCATCGATACGTAACACGTAATTTTCATATAAAATATGATACGAATATATAAATTATCAATATTTTTACAACATGAATATATAAATTGTTAAATCTAATTATATAAAGAGAAACAAAATTTATACCAAGCCGTTACTCAAGTCAATTATTGCCACCTTGGCCCGCTACTAGCATCTAAACAAAGAAAGAAACAAAAATTGTACCAAGTCATCGCTCAAGTAAATTATTATTGCCACCAAAATTTTTTATCAATTCCAGAGAAATCAAGTAATTCATCCCTTTTCAGAAGAACAAGCAAGTCTCATGTCTTGCATTTTTCGCAAATTAATTAAGAAAATGATAGTATGAAAATGGTATATGCAAACATGGAATAATGGAAATTCCATAAAATCCTTCCTTAAGTGGTAGCTTTTCTCTGTTTGGGTCATATTAATTCATCTAGGCTTATTTTTGAAAGTTTGGCATTTCTATTTGTAATAATAATTAATCTGGTTTGGTGAAATTCGCAGAAGAAAGTGATGGCGGACGACTTTGTTTCCATTAACATAACTGAAATGATTGCAAAGTGCCTAATTATCTTCGTAAGGTAGATGAGCAGGCCTATGAACCACATCAACTTGCAATCGGTCCTTACCACCGCGGCAAGGTTCACTTAGAAGCAATGGAAAGCCATAAGCTTCGGTATCTTCAAAAGCTACTTGAAGAAAGAAAGGAGATCAATGATGTCTGAAAATATGTTAAGGCAATGAGAGAATTACAGGCAACAGCTCGCGATTGCTATGCAAAATCTGCAAATCTTGAATCAGATGATTCGTCAAATTGCTGCTCCTCGATGGTTGCTTTATCGTTCAGCTAATTCGGATATATTTTAACATTTCATTGAGGGTCGACAATGACCCCATTTTTGAGGCGATCGGTTTGAGTTACTTCTTATGCCGTGATTTGTTATTACTTGAAAATCAAATTCCCTTCTTTGTTGTATTGGAGTTACTTGGTATGATTGGGATTTCCGATGAGGAAGATTTCACTAGAATGATTCTGGAATTCTTGAAGTAAACATTACCAGATTCTAGGTTTTTTGAAGATGGTGTAAAGTCGATAAATGAAATCAGACATCTACTGGACTTGATACATGAATACTGGCGTCCTTCACCTATAGAAATTGCGGCCTATAGAAATATGAAAGAAAGGAATACCAACCTCACACGTTGTGCCACGGAACTCAAAGAGGCTGGAATCAAGTTCAAAAAGGTGAAGGGACAGAGCTTGTTTGATATTAAATATGAAAAAGGGACTCTGAAAATCCCAACCTTGGAAATCAATGATTGGACAAACTATTTGCTTCGAAATCTCATTGCCTTGGAGCAGCTTTCCCCATCCAGATTTATAAATCATATCACGGATTATACCGTATTCATGGACTGTCTTGTTAACTCAGCAAAAGTTGTGGAAATACTCACACCTGTAGAATTGTTGACAACAATTTAGGTGATGACGAAGCAGCTGCCCCCATGTTTAATAGGCTTACTGACTCAGTATTCTACTCCTCCTCAACCTACTACTACCAAGAAGTATCTGACAAAGTGAACGCAAATTGCAGAAGAGGCCAGAATAAATGGCTTGCCAACTCGAATCACAACTATTTCAACAGTCCTTGGGCGCTTATTTCCATTCTTGCTGCTGCTGCCATTGTTCTACTTACCCTCGTGCAAACCATATTTTCTGGAATTGCTCTTTGAAAATAAGTATTATTATTACAAGTTAGTACCACTTATCTTCTGACTAATATTAGTTTGAGAGTGATCTGAAAGTAATTGATTATTGCTTGCAGCTTTTTCCTAAGACTTGATCTTGCTATTTTGTTTTTTCTTTATTTTTTATTTTTTATCTTTGAAAAGTAATGGAGGAATGCAGGGTACCTTATAACCATTTTTTTATCTAAATATTCTATTAGTTGTAAATTATATTTCATGCAGATATGTTTATCTCCATTAGCACAAGAGTTTAACATTTCCAAAATGCAAAATTAGAATGTTTATTGTACTGTGTTTGATTTATGATTTATCTATTAAATTTATCGTTTAGTAGAGCCATTATATTTTTAATCATATATAATTTTTTTCACCGTTATTTAAACATGTGCCCTCTTTGAAATTTGAATTAATATTTTATTCTAAATTCTTTTCAATTTAATAATTTATTTACATACATTTTGAATTTCATTTTTTTTCTATTCGTTTTTAGATTGAAAAATGCTATTCAATTTAACATATTGAAACAAATTGTGACCCTAATATTCAATTGAAAAATGCTTGATGAATAGACATTGTGCATGTCACATCATCATTGATAGAATAAAGTTTCATAAGCCTAGCTATCAAAAACAGAATCCTAAAAGCTAATAAATGTGAGGTCGATTTCCCCTGAAAGAAGCAAAAACTGAATACATGTAAGAATTGGCAGTTACTTAAAATAAGAGAGAACTGAAAATACAGTTTGCACCATACTAAGTAGAAGGAGAACAACAGCAGCCAGAAAGGAAAAGAAAGCCCATGGACTGTTAAAATAGTTGTGGTTCAAGCTCGCCATCCAGCGGTTGCAACGTTTATGGCGATGCTTGTTTATCTTGTCGAATACTTCAGCGTAATAGAACCTGCTGGAGAAGGTGACACAGACACCTAGACCATTAAACATGGTGGCAATAGCTTTGTCATCACCTAACATGTTCTTAATAATTCTATGTTGGCAAAGTATTTCCACATCCTTTGGAGAGTCAATAAGGTAGTCCATAAAAATCATATAATCGGGGGCATGCTTGAGATCTCTGTTTGCTAGGAACAGCTGCTCATACGCAATGAGATTTCGGAGGAAAGGTTCCGTAGAGTCATCTATTGTAATTTCAGGGATATGTAGAGTCCCATTTTCAAACCGTATATCGAACATGGTATTGGTATTTCCATCGACCAATTTGAATTTGATTCCAGCCTCTTTGAGCTCTGTCGCACAACGTATGAGATTCAATTCATTCTTTTTTTGTGAAGTCGAAGGATGGCAGCAACTGTGATACCTTAAGTTGCGTAAACGCTTGATATATGATCTAAAGCAATTCCGGTCTCTAGGGTTCTCTTCATTGTCCTTCATTTCTGAAGTTGAATTATCTTCTTTGAGGTACTTTTTACGGACCTGCACTTCTGAAGTTGAAGGATGAAAGCAGCAATGATACGCGACGTCGAGTAAATGCTTGATATATGATCTAAAGCAATTCAGATCTCTAGGGTTCTCTTGACCGTCCTTTTCTGAAGTTGAATTTTTGTCTCTGAGTTTCTTTTTACGGGCCTCGACTTCGGAAGTTGAAGGATGAAAGCAACAGTGATACATAAAGTCGAGTATATGCTTGATATCTGATATATTCGGGAACTTCAGATCGCCTCTCGGGCGCCTTTTGCCTGGTACTCTATTGCCCAACATCGAAATGATTGCTTCCATGAAGATCATATCTTGATCAGCCCTACTCCTCTCAATCATACAAAATAACTCCCAAAGGACAAAGAAGGGAAGTTGATTTTCGACTAATAACATATCCTGACATAAAGAAAGTCATAAACCATTGCTGTAACAACCTACGACATCGTACAAATTTAATGGCCTCTTATCTGAACACCAGCGAATTATCTGGACAATAAAGACACCATCAAGGAGCAACACTTTAACGAAATCATCTGAGTCAAGATCACTCACAGGATCTGCATACCATTTGCGAGCTTTATCTTTTAATTCTCTCATTTTCATCACATATACTGAAACATCATTCTCTTCTATTTCTTCAAGAAGCTTTTGAAGAAAGCGAATCTTTTGCTTTTCCATTGCTTCTAAGTGATCCTTTCGCCGGTGATATGGACCGATTGAAATTACCTGTGGTTCGTAGGCCTTCTCGTTTACCTGACGAAGATAATTAGGCACTTTGGAAATGCATGGCATATATGTTTTTTCTGATAAACTCTCAAGCATTTGCCTATGTCAATGGTAACAGGGTCTTCCAGTAGTTTCTCCTGTAAATTGAGTAAAACTATGTTAGGAATAAAATGCAAAGTTTTCATAGTATACCTAAATTAAAATATTAGTTATTTGTCAGTACTTTTGTATTTTTTTAAAAAAATCTTGTTCTTTTTCTCCTCTCTATTCTCATTCATTAAATTACTGTTAACCATTAGTAATAATTAAATTATGAGTATTCGTTCAGTTGGTTTAGTTAATTACAAATTGAATTATTCAAAATTGAATTAATCAAATTATGTTATTTTATTTTTGTTAACCAAACTGATTTATTAATTTCAAAATTTTAATTTATGAAATTTAATTCGGTTAATTTTTGAATTAACCAATCAATAAAAACATTTAAATTAAATTATATTTTAAATTCTTAATTTTTTATATTTGAAACAAACTAATTAAATAAAATCATCCAACAAAATATTTAAAGAACAAAATATTTTGTCGAAAATTCTAACAATTTGTAAATGAAATGGTCCATTTATCAGTGAAGAACAATTCGCAAATGAAATTTGTAAATGAAACAATCCAATACTTTTCTCCGCTTTTTGGCTAAAAGACGAAGTGAAGATCAATTCAACCCATTTGAGAATTTCAGCTCATTTACCATCTTTGATTTTTTTAATTTTAAATTACTGTTTAACAGAAGAAACCTATATTAATGAGACAGGCATGATCAGTTTTAATTTTTAGATTTAAAGATACGAGATACTTACTTGTTCGGAGTGCGGTGCCATGAATGCAAATGCGTTTCACTTGGTTTCTTCGTTGGAGGTTGCAAATAGCTACAAAAAAATTTGTATAAGAAATGGAAATTATGGACTCTATATAGGCAAGGCATTCTTCTAGCTCAAATTTCTGGTATCAAAGTAATGAATTCTCAACAAATACGATTCGCTGCTACAGGATGGTTAATAATTGGATGATAATTACAAAACAAGCAATAATGTAATTGACCTAGTCACTTTGGACACAATTTAATCCTTTTGGAGAGTAACAATTTTTCCTATTTCATATCTTGCTATTTCAATTCAAGATACATGTAATTATGAATGCTTTGTTCTTTTTTCCTTTTTTTGCTTATTCAAAGGGGGCAGAACCCTACGTTAAGGGGGATGGGGGAAAGTTGAGGTCCAAAACCTAATCTTGATATCTTCTTAAGATTGTTTTAACCACTAAATCAAATAGATGAAGACATAAATGCTTTGTTCAGTATGTAAATTTGTTCTCTCCTCGAGATGATGACATGGGCCAAGTCCAGCATCAAGAAAAGCTTATCATCTCAAGTCAACTTTGTGTTAGCATCAATTTTGTGTCAATTTTATTAAAGTTATTTTGATAAAGTAGATTCTCTCTATTTTAATTACTTTATTAAAATTATTTTATTAATTTGTTTGTATTGCTTTATATTTTTGTCATGAATCCCTTAGTCATATTAGATTCTATTTTTTTACTTTTTCACTTAGACCACACAAGTAAAGATAATTACTTTTCACCTATATATATTATCTAATTCAAACTATATCCTCCAATTGGATCACATGCACTTATGACCCACAATAATCAAACCAATATGTTCAAATACAATTATTAATCACATTGTTATCTTCAAAAAAAAAATTTTTTTGCCAAACTCATGACTGCCAACCAAGTAACGTATATTTTAAAGAAAATTTATTTTCATATCGAAATAGTGTGATTAGTTATGAAAGCCTATACTCTTCCATATCCACTTTGACTAAAAAAAATTGTCATACAAATAATATATGATATAAATTCATTTCTAATCAAAACTGTTTCTTAATTGATAATAAAATTTATAAAATAGTTCAATCATGAGTTCACGTGTCAAAAATGAAATGGGTTAGATCACGATTCCTTTTAACCTTTTAGTAACATAGACTACAAACCTCTCTTAAAAATTTGTTATCTTTTATTTATTTTCATGGTTAATAGTTTTTTTTTTTTTTTCAAGGTCCATGCATATTCCAGAATTATATAACTTCTTCAATTGAAGTAAATGATGTGTTAAATTTCTTGCATAACATAAATAAAAAAACAGAAAAAGTAATAAAATATTGACTTCCATAGAAATAAATAGCACAAATTTTTTTTAATTTTTACAAACCAATATTAATGGTAATTTATTAACAAATTAGATTATAAAATGGGCATTTACTTAATAAATTTCGCTGGGATTAGATCTTAAAGTTAGCATTTAGACAAAAAAGTAAAGGAGAAAAATGTCAGTGTACTTTACAATGTTGCCTGAGATAATAGAATTACCTATGTAGTCTGCTTGCTGTTTAATATATGAAATTCCAATTTCCTCTATCAAAAAGAAAATAGAATCATCTTATCAGTTTCATTAAATTTTCCTTGGTTTCAGATCACTCTCCTGAACCAAGTCTAACTTTTTAAGCAACGATTTGGAGGTGATAGCTGATAAAGCCTAGAGAAAGGAAGAATTGCTATGGTTGGTCATAGGAAAAGACGAGAAAACAAGGTTTGGTTGTATGCTTTGCTTGCAAAGGTTGGTTTGGATATTCTTATCGTGCAGTCGCTCAAGAAACGTTTTATTATGCTTATGGCTTTTATAAATTGTATGATTTATATTATATTCTTTGATCTTTTGATCAGCTTTAAGGCTTCTTTCCCCAGAAGTTTTAAGAAGAATCTTGTTTCCTTCATACAGCCTTTTTCTTTAAACACCTTCTTTAATATTGTGTTTTGGTCCAAAGGCAGCGACCAATCAGATGATGAAAAACTGTGGACCAGATTTCAGCTCAGTCAAGCCAAATTTTGAGGTATTAATTCAGAGTTCACACAGTTGATTCCAAAGGTGAATACAAAGGCACTTGTAATTAATGAAATTTACTTTTGTTGGAGGTTTTTTTAATATTATTGGCTTTCGAATTGCTTTTTTTTATTGGATTTTAAAAATTATTTTTTAAGTTCAAATTTAAAGGTCCCAAAGTGTGTTTTATTTTTATTTATGGCAAAATAATAATAACATAAATTTTGATTTTTTAAAGATTGTGATTTTATTTAGATTTGAAATATAAAAGTTAAGTTTGATTTTGGTAATTCTAGGGAATCAAGTTTCTATAAGAAGGAAAAAAAATTTTGATGAGATTTTAATAGATTCAGTTAGTATTAAAAATTTGCAAATTAAAAAAGGATACAATTTCTATAAAAAGGGCACAATTCTAAACTCAGAATTAAGAAGTATTAGCCGAAAACATAGAAGGAAAGTAGGAGAAGTTTGTAGCTGAAATTTGGAAAGCTTCTTGCAATTTTAAAAGTAAAAAAGGAGTTAATCAACAGTAAAGGCATATCCAAAGCTAATAAATTTATGGGCAGCAAGATTTCAATTGCCATTTCCTTGGGCTATAAGGTTTTTCCTTGTGCTAAAATCCAATGCACAAGTTAGGTATAATTCTTTGCTTTTTTTTTTGTATATTTATTTATTAATTTATTTATTTATTCCATTATATTTATATGTAAATACACGTTTTTTTATTCCTTTATTTTTAATTTTGTTATTTTAATTTTTTTCTTTATTAGTATATAATTTCTTATTAAAAATAATAATAAATTAAAAAAAGATGATTTTAGGATAATTTAGAGTTAATTAGCACCATTTTAAAATAGACATTGTAGGATATTATAATTTTTCTTACACATAATCGAAATCTTAAACCTAATTCTAATAAGTAAACAATAACTTATTCTTTTTAAAGATACTTAATTAAACTTTAGATATATTAAAAGGATAAATTTATTTAAGTGATCAATCATATTTTAGATAAAAAAATTAATGGCAACTCTTAATTTTTTTTCTTAATAAATTTTTAAATTTAAACATTATGACAGCTATTTCTGTAAAAAAAAAAAAAAAGGTTCTTGTTTTACAAACTTGGTTTCGTGATAATTGTATATTTGATATGGTCCATATGGATCAACCACAACCACCAACACCAATGTTAATTCATGATAAATAAATTAGAATTTAATCATATTAAATTAAATATGCTATATATAACTTCAGAAAGCCCTAAAACAATGAAAGACGCTTTTCCTTTTTGCTTTCAATAATTGGAAGACCAAAAACTTGATACTTACCGAGCGTTCATGCTCCTGAGGAAACAAGCCGTTCAAGTTATTGGAAAAAAGGGTTTAATAAGTTTTAAACATACTTACCAAGAAGTTCTATGTTCTTGGGGGGAAACAAGCTGTTCAAGTGATGATAATAGATATTTTGATTAAGTTAGTATTTGACACAATTGTTAGTGTAAATTTTTAATTTTACAAGCAGAGTTAAATATTGAAACATGTTTTAATTTTATTTTTAATTATACTTTATGGATATATATCACTCTTGTAATCCTACTTATAAAATTTAAATATTTCGCTCATAGTAAATAAAATAATTTCTCATTTTGATAATGAAGTTTGTAAGGGACATTTTAATGAATACTCATATGAACACGTACCAAATACAACCAATTTAATATCAAAAGAAATAGTAAATGTGATTTTTATTCACTATCTGTATGATGTTTTTCAGGTTTATGAAGTTTGTTTTGGGTTTAAGACCTAAAATTTTTAGTGTATTTGAAAAAAAGAAAGCATGGTTTATTGCTTTGGAGATTAGGAAGTTACCTATGAATTTAATTTAACATCAATTATACTTTTATCAAGAAAAATTAAATTTGGCCAATTAAAGTATTTTTGGTAATTTTTAATTATTATGAATTAAAATTTAATGGCTATCATTAAGTCCACGGGATCAAAACTCATTTTCAATAGCAATGACTAATATTTACGAAACGCTGATTAAAGAATATTTATAGTTTTGTACAAAAAATAAATGAGAATATATCATGCTAACCGATCACTAGTTGATGATGTGCTGAAGAAAGTTAATGGACTGAAGCGAATTGTAGATGAACTTG